TGCTCGCTAACAGACAAACAAACCAATAAATGGGACTGAAAACATAACCTCCTCTGCGAAGGTAATAAGGTGCATGCATCTTCTGTGCGATCACAGCTTAATCGACAGTTAAATTAGAGTGCGTCGCATCACACACTGCAGTGATACTGTAGGCAAGACTTCAGCCTCAGCAGCTCTGTTCATGCTTAAATGCTGAGAGTCATTTCATGCAGGCTCATCCTTCTTAGAACAACTACACCATTAGTATTTTGCTTAAATGCATTGCTGGACTGTTATCTATAGCTGAAGCCTATGGAGTGCTACTGCCTAAATGTTTAATATCCTGTAGTGACAGAATAGATTAATTCTTATGTTGAGCTACTGTATATCTATTATCTCCTCTTTATTGTGTGCCTTGTGCTTCTGCTGTGAATGTGTCCTGTTGTGCCTGTATGTGGGAACTTATGTGACTCTGTGAGGTGTTGGTGTATCAATGCACCAGAATCATCACAGCATATTTCAGCAAAGGGAGCTAATGCAGACACCTGACAGACTTGTCAGAGGCAGTTAACAGGTTAGGAGGGAGGCGGGATAGTAATGCTAATTAGCCATGTGGTACGGCTATACTTAGTCTGTTTGCCGACCTGTGGGCTAGTTGTGTCAGAGTTGTAAGTTTTATGATCTGTATTTTTCTTTGCTGGCTATAGCTTCTCTGGTTTGGTCTGACATTCCTTCTACTCAAGTGTTTCATCACTTTCCTTCTTACAGAGCCCAAAAAGCTCCCATACCGCCGAGGGAACTTTTCTTTTGTTTGAGCATGGAGCCTTTCATCATTTCTTATCTCGTCAGATATTTTGGCAAGTACAACCTGCAGGTGACATTTGAGCGTTGGTGTGTGTTTGACCATAACGTGTGGGGGCAGTAATGAGGAGGGCAAAGCGGAGAATAAATGAAAGTGGCTCTCTTTTTTTTTTACTGCATTTAATCTGGTATCAAAACCACAGACATCAAAACTACAGATAAAAAGAGACAAGGAGGTTGAGGATGAATAATTCCCTCATAATGTAAATGAAAAATGTACTCCCTGATTAGGGATGAATTGAGGCAATTCATTAAAAATGCAAAAGCGTCTTGTCAAATGTTTGATAGGTCCTTTAAATATTGGCCTAAGACAAGAACCATACATTTTTGAGGGTTAATACCACTACTTTAATTATTAAATTGAATTTGTAAACATACTTAGAATGGTAGAACAGGATATCATGTTATTCATACCAGCTCATGTGAGATAAATTGTTGCACAAAGTTATGGAGTTGTTATTGGAAAAGTTACCTCAAAAACATCTTAATCATCGAAACATGTCAGAAAATGTCTAACTATGTAACACAACATTTGCCAGAACATTGACAATCTTTAGAACCTCATAAAGTTCCCAAAAAAACATATATGTATCTGAAAAAGCATTTGGCATTGGTGATTTGCAGTTGTTTATGATTCAATAATGACATCATGAATAATAGAATAATAGAGTGTTTTTATTTGCATCATTTTGAAGGAAGGCAATATCTAAAACACCAATGTACTGGATTCCAATGAAAGCGCTGTCAAAAATAAGTATCATGTTATGCACAATACATACATGCATATTAATATACAATACATTATATATTATAAAATGCTTGGCATTATTTAAATATTTTCATTTGCATTCATCAGGATAGAAATTACAACAGATAAGCAACAAACAAATTGAATATATATTAATTTGACACAACACATTTTCTGGTCTGTATGCCTATGGTTAGGATTCTGCATATTATGTCACAAAATCCAATCATCTTTCACCAGCCTAACAATAGTGTAAAACATTCATTATGTATAAAAACAAAATTAAACACAGCAGAGTTTCAGAGGGTCAGGAATAAAATAAAGAATTGACATGTCTCATTTTAGCTTGCTTACTTATTATACAATGCAATGAAGAGTAGCCATTTCTACCA